CCCACAAGCACCGGATCAGAAAGCAACATTCAATGTTGGAACAGGCAGTGTGTTCATACGGGTCCCGAAATCAAAACATCTTTCCAAACCTATTTTTTATCAAAACTATTACTTTTATATTATTATTATCATAATGCAGTAAGCGTGAAGAGGCGTGGGAGAACTGGACAAACTATAAGCTTATATATTAATTGCATTATTCTATAATGTTGCGTTTTTAGAAAATTGATTATTGTACTCATCTGTACACTTCATACATCTCCGATGGAGTTTATGAATGTCTTTTGACAGTCCAGTTCAGGTAAATAGTTGAAGAAACCTTATTTTATGAGCCGCGCCAACAAAACCAACATAGTGCGTTTGCGACCAGCATGGATCCAGACCAGCCTGCGCATCCGCGCAGTCTGATCAGGATCCATGCTGTTCGCTTACCAACTCTGCTACAAGTAGAGAAACTAAAAGCGAACGCAAACGCATTATGTTGGTTTTGTCGTGACGCGGCTCAATTATACTCAAATTCATTATGTTTAAAGTGTATAAAGCTATATATCTACTGCAAAATATATTGTTTTAAAAAGAATACTTCCGAAGTAAAAGTGGTACTTAATCGCCTTAAAAGCGAATGGCGCACGCACAAAATCATTGCTAAACGGATATAACCCTACTTAAAATAGCAAAATAATATTTTGTTCCGGAAGGTTTTATTCTGTTTACATACATTATTCATGTGTGTTAAATAACAGAGACATTCTATGTTACAACTTTTTCGGGAATCAACCATATAATAATGGAACCAATTTGATTTTACTGTTGATAAATTTTATAAAAAATATTTCATAATATATAGATTTCTACCCTTTAAAAATGTTATAAAATGGTGAATAACTGTAATATTTATAAAGTATAATACCTCAAATCCTAGTGTATTTTACGCATTTTAGAATAGATCGTAATTTAAAACTTTTAAGTAAAGGTTGTAAAATATAAATAGTATACGCCTTCCTATTATAACTACTCCGCTCGTGTATGATATATTGTTATCGTGCAGAATCTGATATTTGTTATGATTGCATTATTGCATTGCAAACATGAAAAGGTAGTAAACCGAAAATTTATTTTCTTCAATAGGTGCAGTTTTATATATAGTGCATTTCATCATGTTCAACGCTAACTGAGCGTTTATGAATCTTATTCTCACTAGTACAGTCCAATTATTTGGGGTGTAAGCATTATATATTACTGGTATCATACGCCTATGATTGTTACATATAAATCCCTGGTGTATTACGTCGTAGCTTCCTCTCCATTTAAATAAAGCTTTATGAGAGGATGCAGGATTACAGATCTTAACCACATTAATTGCTGGTAAGCCCAGATATCAGATAACATTAAAAAAAACTTTCTCCATTTTATTATCCTCTAATAATTCTCATCATTCCCTTAATAAATATTGTATTTACTATTTTGTCTTGATGGTTGCCACAAAAAGAGTGTTTCTATTGTTAAAATTGCAGATTTGAATGAAAAGAATGGGCTGAAACTTTAACTAAATACTTTGTAAAGTCAAAGACGTCAACTGAAGTGGTAAAACTCACCTCATATGATAAGCATAGCAATGGCATGATATTAGACAAACACAAAAAATGTCTATTAATTAGGATATATTAGAATAAAATGTCAACTCAACAAAGTCAAACATTTTATTGCAATTTATTTACTATTACAAATATGTCATCATTCACCTCAACATCACATTGACAGAATTGTAGATGTGGCACTTTACATAACAAGATGACCAATATTCAATCTAGACCTCGAAAATATAAAAGCAACCTTTCTGACACATTTCCATAATCTTTGGTATGAAATTACATGTATTTACCTCTAGAGTGTTTACAATGTTTCCCAAAATTTTGACTGTGACCTTCTTTTTGACCCCAGATGAACCATACTCATTCTACCTAAACAACCTTTCTGACAAATTTCAAGTATGTTACCTGTAGAATATAAACACACACACGCACGCACGCACGCACGCACGCACACACACACACACACACAGCCATCCCGTACTTTTCAATTTCTGATCAATATTGTGACATTACGTGAATAAACCCTAGTCGCTGCTAGCTGCGTCCGTAATCTGTGTAAGCCCTAAGGGAGATTTGTATCGGATAAAATTATGATCAACCTTCGCCTTCCCTTTTCCAAAGGTAAGTCTTGCTTAATTAATCGATTTCATCATTTTGGGGATGTGTGCCCTAGGTTTTGACCACAGGTGACCAATATTTACACTTGAGCTGAAAATCGTGTAAATAACCTTTCAATAACCTTTGGCCAATTTCAAAGATATATAGACTGCAACTGAAGCCTCTAGAGTGTTAACAATGTTTTCATTATTTGGGCTGCGTGACGTAGTTTTTGATATCAGGTGTCCATTTGCTAACTTCAGCTAGAAATTATCAAAAACATATTTTCTGACCAATTTTACGGATATTACGGCCAACACAGTAGCCTGTAAAGTGTTTTCCCGAACTTTTCCCAAATTTGGGCTGTCAGACCTTGTTTTTGACCCCAGGTAACCCGTATTCAAACTTGATCTAGAAATCATCAAAACAATATTGTTGACCAATTTCGAGGGTATTTGGGTAAAACAAATAGAAACAGTTTCCTCCAGAGTGTTAACAAGATTTTTTCTATTTTTGTCTCCTGTTACCTAGTTTTTCCGTACATTCTAGAAGACGATTGTTCTAACACGTCTAAGCAATCACTTGGACAAACATCTAAATTTTGTGAGAACTGGGGCAAAAATGTGACCATTAGAGAGTTTACGAACTAAATGTTAACGATAGATGGCCGACATACGAAGAATACCACACATTCAACGATCCTTTATGCTCATTTTCAGCTAACTCAGGTGAGCTAAAAAATCTCTTTATTTTACTTGTTTGCGGTATGAACGCAAACTTTATTTAACCTTATAAAAAAGAGATAATTAAACCATATTTCAATTTAATTCATTCGTTATGAAATATAACCGTTTTTATTACTTCCTTGACCTCTTATTGATATCACACCACGTGAATACCGATACATCGAACCGTTGAGTACTTTAAATTAAAGATAACACAATTAAAGATAACACAAAAGTGTCGTTTACCAGGCTGAAAAAAGTTTAATGCGCTACTATCTTGCCAGGCAGGGTTTTTGCGACGGGTTATATTGCTAGATTTTATCACTATATACCCAAAAGCAATTAATCATAAAGCGTTATAGCCATACTTTTACATTTATTATTTTCAAGGTCGTCGATAATCTTGCATATTGCAATGCAAAAAGTTAAATCATATTCTAGGTAAAGTTCAGTATCAGTCTGGAAATAACTAAATGATACCATATGTAATAAGCAAACCTGTATTTTACCCATACCCTCACAAACAAGAACCTGTTGAACCGGGTGATGCGAGAAGGTTTTGGACACAGGAAAGTATTAAAAAAATTAACAAAGGGCAAAAACTCCAAAAAAGGCAATGCAGAGTTATGTTTTTTTTTTGCACTGCACTTCTATTTAATGAGATCTATCTATCTATAAAGTTTCGTGATGTTATCTCTTATAGTTTCAGAGTTATGTCTCGGGTAAAATTCAAAGTGTTAAAATGAACAAAGGGCAATAACTCCAAAACTAGACAAGGCTGTGTTTATGTTCTTTAGCATTGCAAATGAGAACTACATGTATCTACCTACAAAGTTTCATGTTGATATCTCTAATACTTTTAGAGTTAGGTCCCGGACAATAGTAAAAAAGTAAAAATAAACAAAGGGCAATTATTAAAAAATTAGGCTAGGCAGTGTTACTGTTCTTGTCCACAGCACACTTACTCAATGAGATCTATCTACCTACAAAGTTTCATGTTGATACCTCTTGTTGTTTCAAAGTTATGTCCCGGACAAGAGAAGCGGATGGACGGACGGACAAAGCGGCGACTATATGCTCACCTTTTGGGGAGCATAATAAAAAATTTCAGTGGAAACATGTATATAAATCTTACCGGTTTATTCTTTGATTCAGATGGTCGCCATTCCGGTTTGGATTCATGATTGCCCATGTCGAAGTACCTCTTTGGCTTAACGTCCAAATAACGTATCTGTTCGAATCATATTCTTATTAAATTATCGCTTAATTTTTTTAAAATAATTAAGTAATAATGGGTATCTAATTAATGTAAGTACCGTGACATGGATATTTGTCTTCTTTTTTTCTCCCTAGCATTTTGTTATTGTTTTCAAATTTTATTTTCATTTTTACTAAATTATTTTTCTGTGCGAAACACGAGAAACGAAACGAAAAATGAACTAACAATAGTTTGAAATCAATATAGTATTTCAAGGCTAGTCATACCGGGTATTCTTTTTTTACCTTTATCAACGAACGTTAAGTGCCTGTGCACTTTTTAAAAATGCACTTTTTTCAGCATGGCGTGTTTTTCACAGCCGAAACTATTATACAAAAAAAGAAATATTCATTGGTTCTTGTCATGACCCTGTCTAAAATTGAAGTTTTGTCTCGCTCTGTTAACTATACAGGCCTAGCTATTATGCACTAAATACAAAAACAAATATTTTATTTCTCTAAGGACTTAGGTCAAGACATTGACATGAGGTAAAAAAATATTAACAATACTATACAATGCGAGCTTTTTGTAACCTTACCTAACTAGTTTGGGCGTAATGTCTACACCCAAGTATTTGTGTTATTGAGGTTTTGTATAGCTCGTATTCAAAAATACCACACTTTACTTTAATTTAACTAATAATTACGTAAGGTTACTATAATTGAATTGATATATACCATTTAAACGTATCATAATTTATCGTTCATGAAATTAAGAATTGTATGAAAACTTTACGTTTTAACAATCCATTCAGGTTTTATACATTATAAACTTTGATAATATCTCTGTTTTTGGAATGGAAATTACAAAGTAGTTTAAAATCTCGGCATATTATTGAGAAAATAAATCTTAAACAAATATTATATGATTGTATAATAAAATAACTTACACCTTTATATTGCTTATATTCACGCCACAAATTCTATTTTTCACTTCATTTAAAAAGTGAGCAAATTAAATCATCAAAATTAGAAACAAAATCTCAACTGACCTTTGTGTTTATCCAGCAATGGTTTCATCAAATTTCTGTACTTCAAAACAATAAAAATAAAAATATAACTAATAGCTAATAGTATATAATTTGGTAAACTGTCATATAAATCTTATAAATATTATATACATGTAAAAAAATAAGTGACTTCTTATAACATTAAGACCGTGTAAATATTAAACGTTTACAAAATTTAGATAAGTAATTACATACGATAAAGACTTTGAGATCTTTGCGTACACAGTACCGTCTTCAAGTCAAGTCAAGTCAAGTCAGGTAAATTTTATTTATAAGTCGGATACATCAACAATAAACAAAAGCTCTGGTGAGCTTTTTACAACAATCCTTGTCGTTTAAGAAGAATTAAAAAATAAAATATCCTTTAAGAAGAATTAAAAGTAAAGTCTACTTACATTTGAATCTATCCAGCGAAACTAAGTTTATCAGATAAAGTTGGTTATACAGTGTATATTAACGTGCAAAGAATATTTGGAGCATAACCTTGATAATTGCGATACATGCTAGATCGTGTGTTGTGCAAACAGGTAGAAAGTTATTCGGCGAATGAGTCATTCAGTACTGGCGTGTTATATAAATTTATATTTGAAAAATAAAATAAAAATAGAGGCCGATATAGCCAAGAAATGCCAATAGTTTCATTATTGAAAAAGCTTTTGATTTGATGTGTCTTGTTAAAGTTTTCAAAAAGTTATGCATTCTCCATATTGCGGGCTATCTTTCCTCGGAGCATTGTTGTAGAATAATGCAGGTTCGAGTTCCAAAGCACAGTAATATAGTCACGAAACCGATAGGCCTGAGTGAGTAAATGAAAAGCATTTGAACGATAAACCGTCTATTATTATACTATAATGCAAGAAAAAATGTATCCATTTCTATTATAACATTCATAGAAAAAAAGAGAATTAAAAGAAAGATATTAAACTACATTAAGCGTAGATGTAATGTTCCTGACGTCATTTTCCTCGTTTGACAAATGGAATGTTTGGGCTATTTCATCAAGGCAAGTAGACTGTTCCAGGTTTGATGACGTCTTGAGCTTTTTTATTTTTTACATAACAAATACCAATTGATATTAATAAACAGATTGAAACTTCCTAAATACACACACATGCTGACTCCTGTCTAGTTAGTACAGTTTATTACCCCTCACTTTTTTCGTAATGCTAATTTCCCATAGGCCTCTAGCTGGGAGTTATTTTTACTGTTATTGCAAGTGTACCACGTGACTAAGAATTTTATACTGTTAAATAGGTAACAGTATTTTTAACAGTATAATATCTGGTCACGTGGTTTATTTTCTAAATAAAATGAAATAAAATGGCCGCCATTTTTTCTCGATTCATTCTTATTTTCGACGTTAATCCGATAGGACATCAATTTCTTCTCTGGAGTAAGTTTGACACCCATAAAATTTAGTTGTTCGCACCCTGGTGTGCTTTTCGTGTATAAAATATCTTTTTGTTGAATAGTCAAAACGTGAACATCCGTTTTCAACGGAAGTACTTGCAATGTAAATAATTATGTGTAAAACTGGAACATGCAGACGATTTAAGCATGCAACAAAGGATTATTTAACAATTTTTATCAGTGAAACGTAACAGATATGGTGGACAGACATAGGAATGATAGGATATCATCGTTATTTTGTCAAAAACCATGCTAAGAATTTCTGGAAACAGAAGGATCAGATTTCACAGATCATAACCGTGTAAATGGGTTAGTGTTTTGTTTTCTAAATAAAACCTTGCTTATTGTATGTTTATGATTTGTAGATATCATCACTTTCATAAAGAATAAAAGAAAAAGAAAACTTCTCAAGTAGGCCTAAAGTACCCTTAAAACTTAAAAGGTAAGGACAGTTTAGTTATCGTTACTCTTGGTTTATTTTTGTTACAGTTAGATTTAGTTGACAATTTCAGATCATCGCAGTATTTTTGTTCGGGGTAATAAAATAAATAACACATGGGTTTGTGAGTAACAGTAAAAATATCATCCCTCGTAAAATACTGTTACCCTCGGCTACGCCTCGGGTAACAGTATTTTACACGGGATGATATTTTTACTGTTACCCACAAATCCATGTGTTATTTATATAATGTTAGTTTATTTGAAATGTATACGACTATAACCATACAGTCATAGGATCAGATTAAAATAAATTAAAAGTTGAATGTTACTTTTCAAACACAAGTGCGTGAGATGAGTTACTTTTGTAAACTGTCTGATATTTGATATTTTAATGTAAAACAGTGTCCTTGATAGGATTCTATTACAAAATTACTTTTAAAACTTGTAATCGAATATCCATGATAAACATCTTCATTAATAAAACAAACATTTTTGTAAACAGTTTCTGTAAAATTAGCAATCGACGTTACAGGAATATAAAAAATATAAAAGTAAGGACTGCATGCGGTTATATATTAGTCAATAATAATAATAATTCGTACAAGGCTTAAGTGAGACCAAAAATCAAATTGCACTGCTCTATTTTAAGTGTGTTATTTCCTGCTCCGTCGACCTTGTTTCCGTTAAAGTGTGTATACATAATGTTTTAACAAAAATACATGTTAATAGTCAAACGTCTGTTGCCTTTTTTGTTTTTCTTACATGCATGCTTATTGTTTAAGAAGAGGTTGTGGATCTAAAAAAAAGTATTTACGTAACTAGTTAACCTATTAATTAACTAGTTAATTAAAAGGTTAACTAATTACGTAACTAGTTAACCTCGTAATTTTAAGCTGATAATATAATAAAAGGATGGCAGTTGCAGGCACTAACATGCATTTATTTCCCGTTATGATCTTTTATCTATTGAAAAAATAACTAGTTACGTAACTAGTTAACCTGATAACTAACTAGTTAATTAAGAGGTTAACTAGTTACGTAACTTGTTAACCTCTTAGTTAACTAGTTAGTTATCAGGTTATCTAGTGGCAGAAATATGCCACCATACCATAACATATAAAATCCGCTTGAAATTTAGAACGAAATGCATGTATAACGTTCAAGATACAAAATGACGGCACATTTTTTTTTACATCTTTTTATTTTTTATTAATTTTTTATTAATATTAAAGCATAAGCATTTTAGTATGTATAGTTGGTCTTTTATAATTATGATAGTCATTCTCTTGAAATATATTACTTATTATATTCAACTTGACAGAGAAAAATGAATACAATGAGACTTTAAATTGTTGTTATATTAATATAATTTCTACATTATGCATGCGGCTGTGTGCAAGCTCAATATAATATATATCTTAATCAAAACTTTGATACGCAAATGCCACATCCGCCTTAAAATTGCATTCTAATAAATTTCCTTTCATGGTTTAACGGTAGTTTTTGTTTACATGACTTTCGGATACTATTGTCGTTAACTGTCCTTAGCGAAGCACGGAGAGAAAATGAGGAAATATTGCAAAGTGTAGTTTCAGATACAGGAAATATATCGGACGATCACGTGATAGAAAACAAAAGAAACAACGATAATATGTCAATAAGCCATGACAAACAACATACTAACCGTTTCTTAATATGACATCCGAAATAATAAGTACATAATGCAATACAACACACTACACAGTTTATCAAATGAATGATATGAAGTAAGAATCTTGTATCCTTATATATTGAAATAAGTGTTAAGAAACTAGCACAAAGGGAAGTAAAGTATATCCTTTAAGTATGTTCAAGATGTCCATGAAAGATAAAGCCATTTTACGTTTACAAATAGCGTAATCATTCAGATCATCAGCGATTAAAAAGAAAGTTGTACCTAAAACAATTGAATCTCAATCGCCTGCGTGAATAACTTGTTGAAATTGTAACAATTGTATCTACATGTACTTCTTAGAATTTCCGTGATTATAACAATACAAAAAGGGATTCTCCGAAGTAGACTACAAGCGGAATGATTGGTTAGACATAACAATATCAAACGGAACAAAATGCAAATATAAAGTAGCAAACCAATGCACCGGTATGGGGTCCAATCTGAAGTGCAAGCTAAGTGGCTAAGTGCACGTGCAAGCTTATTGCCTGTAAATTGAACGTGTTATAGGGATATTTAGGCAAAATAATGACAAAAATATTTAAATGATCTTTTGTACTCAACTCGCGCTAAAATGACATTTCTAAAAGTTTCAGCATGAATTTCTGTTTAAATTCTATATATTTTGGAATTGAAGCGTAAATATATCTATATATGTTGAACAAAATTTAGACGCCAATAGAATCACCGAATAGTTTTAAAACTCAGGTGACTTGAACAAATCCTTGAAGTTAAATTATCAGATACTGTGGATATTTTATGATTGAAACAAGTCAAAATCATTCATTTGACATGTACTTTAACGTTTCCAGACTTCACTGTGACAACTAGTGTGAAATCCTTGCCTCTAACCTGACCCACGCGGGTGAGGTTAGGAAACCACCATTTTATTCTTTATATGGAGAAAAGTTTGTTCCTTTGACTGTCTAATATATTCATTTTGAGGGCATTTACAGAATTTGGAATGAAAAATTCAAAACTAAGAAATGAAAATTTTGCCTGTGTCTCCCTTTAAAAACAAATCACGCTGTTTGTAAACGCGTGTCGACATATAAACCTTAACGTGCGCACGTAAATTTAATAATTAATTAGTGAGCAGGTAATAGTATAGAACCTAATAAATAAAAAAGAATTCCAATGTTCCATTTATGCACCTGTTCAGTTCAATTTTAAGGCACACGATTATATGAAAGTGTAATTAAGATTAAGAAAAATGCAAATGAAAAAGAATAGGATAGTACCAAATACGTACATGTAGAAATGTCAATATTCTTTTAAAGGTTGACGTACTTGTTTCTGGGTTGTTGGTTTAGTACAATAACTGTGTACAGCTTACACCAACAAGAATTTGTAACAGAGTTACCAACGTCCCCCGCCTCGGGGAAGTTTTATATGAAGCATAAAACCGTGCTATATCAAACGATTGAGGTATTGATCTCAGGACTTTCAGTCCAGAATTATGAGCAATGCTTGATTTGCAAATGCAACAATAAACTTATTAAAGAAATAAAATGAAAATAAAATCTATCATGTTAAGCTTTTACCTCTATGTGTGACCTTAACCTTGGATGTAGGGGTATATGTGTTGTGCATGACATATCGCCTTATTATTGTAACTGTTTGTTCCAAATATTTTCAAAATCCCTTGAACTATGAAGAAGTTAAAGATCAGACACAAAATATACCCTATAACAGATTATGCTAATATTTTACTTCGTCACAAATATTTACATTCCACTTTTTTGATAATTGTACAAAATATTAGAAAATCGACTCATTATAAAGTTACACTAAAAGGAGAAGAATTTTATAAGACTTAGTCTTTCATTCTCATCCTTTTCTTTGAATATATTATATTTGTATTCTGATTGTATTGTATTATGTATATCATGTAAATATTCGGGAAATAAATATGTTTAAACTAATATTTGACCTCTAAATGTGACCTTGGAGGTAGGGACCCATGTTTTGCGCCTGATATAGTGTCTTATTATTGTGATTATTTGTGCAAAACATTTTTAAAACCCTTGATCTATGAAAAAATTATGGACTGGAGACAAAATATACCCTATAACAGACTATGTAAACCTTTGAACTCTACGTGTCACCTTGACCTCTGAGGTAGGTACACATGTGTTTCGCATGACATATCATCTTATCATTATGGCTATTTGTGCCAAGTATTTTCAAAATCCCTTGACCTATGAAGAAGTTATGGTCATGACACACAATATAATATAAAACAGACTGTGTTAACCTTTGACCTCTGTGCGTGACCTTGGCATTGGAGGTAGGATGCAGGTGTTGTACTTGACACATCGTCTTATTATTGTGAATATTTGTGCCTAGTTATTTCAAAATCCCGAAGAAGTTCTAGATCGGACACAAAATATACCCTAACTATGTTAATTGTTTACCTCTAAGTGTGACCTTGACCCTGGAGGTAGGTGACCGGTTGTTGCGCATGACACATTGTCTCAATTGTGGCAAGTATTTACAAAATCCCTTAAATGATAAGAAAGTTATAGTCCGGACACTACATATACCCTAAAATAGACAATGTTGACCTTGAATGGAATGAAAAAGTGTCCTTGACCCTGGAGGTAGTGTTCTTGTTGTTGCGCATGATACATTGTCTTATTATAACAAACATTTGTGCCAAGTTATTTCAGATTTCTTTCGATAAAGTTATGGATACGAAAGTGTGACGGACAGACGGACTGAGTCTATTTCTATATCCCCCTTTTTCTCCGAAAGAGCGGGGGACAATGACTGTGTACAGCTTATATCAGAACAATTTATATGTTGAAAATTACCGAATTATGTTAATAAAATTTCGTAAAATGCCTGTATAGTTACCGTTATAAGTATGTGCAGTTAAATGTAACACATCAAAGTTTTAGCTCTAATTGTTTCATTACAATTTAAAAAAAATCATAAACGTCAGCCGTAAAATAAGGAATTTAACCAATTCAAAGACAAACAAGAGCTGTGCGTAAGACAGCGCGCTCGACTACTGTGAAACCATGCTTGCAAGTGAAGATGATGGTCCCTAACCATCATTAAGTGATTCAAAGCAATAAGTCAGTAATATATAATATATAACTATTATAACAACAAATTTCTCTGATCATTATTGATACCTAAAACAAACTCACACCATTCATTAACCATTTTTACTAAATATCTATTCACGTATACGTTTTATGTTTTATTAACAACTAACGAATCAAAGCTTTAAACAATTAATAATCAAACAAGGCAATTAAATTGCCACAAAATTAAGAACAACAACTGCATGTTTTTACATTCCTAAGCTACAGTATAAACCACAAATTAATATTCCACCAATTTAAAGATAAACCTCGCAGCATCTTATCAACACCACAAAACAACTTAAACCAAAACAACTTATATTTATTTACAGATATCTTCAAAACCAAAACATGAGCTATAAAACTTTTGACATGACAAAATCACTCAATATAACTCAGCAAATATCAACTATATATATCTAACCAAACAAGTAGAAAAGAAATATAATATCATCAATTATAATTTAATCTAGATATATATGATCATCACAATTAAATTCAATCAAATACAACAAATTAACCTTTAAAATAACAATATTCTCTCCTCTGAAAAAAACACGCTACACACTCCGAGAGTGCCTTCCCATTCCCCCCAAAACACACGCATGATCATTAAACTTTGTTATCTTAACTGTTTGACATAACATGTAAGAGACTTTAAGGAACACATTTAAAAAAACTGTATATTGAAGCATGATATGAAGAGTGTTCATATACGAATGCAACTGGGTAAATTTTCAAGTGCTTAACAAACAGTGCAAGAATAATTATCTCAATTCTTCACAATACTCACTACAATGTGATATTCAAAGTTTTACTTTTTAACCCAGTCTTTTAAAAGCGTATATTGTTCAGACACTGGAAAATACCCGAAAAGTGTTTTTGAGCCTCGAAAATAGAAAAAATTAGGAAGCTCGACATTTTTTTCCTGTTTCAGAAATTCTTGTACAATGGCCGCTTTGTGTGACGAAGCATTATCTTGCAATAACCAGACACAACGAAAACCAGTTGCTGGTCGGCGGTTTTTGAAATATTTATTTAATTTATGAAGGACATTGCCTTTGTAAAGCTTGGCATTTACAGATTTACATTTTGTATGTAAATTGAATAGCAGGAACTTGATTGGTAAAGAAAATTACATACATAACTTTTTTGACACTTATGGTACGTTTTGCTATACAAGGTCGTTGACTTCCTTTGGTTGCCCATATTTTGTATTTATTTTTCGCTTAGGCTCATAAAAGTGAAGCCATGTCGAAATGATGATATTTCGAAAGATTGATTGTTGTATTTAGGGAATTCAACAATTGTTTAAAGATTCTTTCCCGAGTAAGTTTTTCTTCTTTTGTAAGGAGATGGTGTATCCATCTGACACTTATCCTTCTCATCATTAAATCATGTCTGGGAATTATATGAGCGGCTCCTACAGAGATACCAACGCATTTAGCTATATATCTAGTTGTAAATCTTGCATAAGTAGCACTCAAATCCTTTACTTTTCAACCAGTTTTGGCGAAGTTGAAGTTTTCGGACTGCGTACATCATTTACTTTTTTTCTTACACCACCATGTGACAGATGAAAAAGAAATTTCATAATTCTCATAAACACAATTTATTTCATTAAATATGTCTTTCGCCTGTATATCTGTTAATCGAGCTATTGTCAAAGCTAGACTAAACTGATTTACATTTTTATTTTATTTTATATATTAAAGTCCCATTTGTACACAATTACATGCATTTACATTTAAGATAAACATTACATTGTACATAGCTTTTCTTTGAGTAGAATTACAAGAGGCTTCAGATATTTTACATATTGTGCAAATAGAAACTATATATAGTCTGTTATGTTACGGACATATGTGTGCATATATAAAATACAGACACTGTATATATATGCAAATGCATTACACATTAAAAAATGCGTATTAAAACATCACATGATATGTATTGTATCAATTAAGAGCTTACATAAATATCTAGTACATAGTGCAAAACGTGGTTTTAAGCGAGATAATGGCCTAGTTGCATTCATATTTGAACACCCTCGTATTTACAGTTCCACTTAGACAAAGTACGTATTGCTGTAAG